GTGTTCAAGGTTCCTGTTCCCATCTTCCTCCTCTTTACCTGCCATGGTCAATCCATTGCCAAGTCCAATCCTTCACCACGTTCCCCAGATAGATCCGTATTTTTCCATGCCCCCCTATGTTGTCTCTTAGCTGAGACCTGGGAGCTTCTTCCATAGCTTTCTCTCTTCTCAGCCATCCTGTCTATGCTCTGAAGTGAAACATTCTAAAATGCTGCTCTGGTCATGTCATCCTTGGGCTCAAATCCTGCAGCAGCCCTCCCTACACACACCCTGCCTTCAGGACAGAGAGCAGGCTCCTTGTGGGGTACTCAAGACCCCTACAGTCTGATGCCTTCCTGTCTTTTGAGATTTATTCCCACCAGCCTCTCCCAAGCAATGAGGGAGGTTCCTTGAGACCCACCACCCATGACCCCTACTCTCCTGCAGACCCACACACCCACCTGCCTCTCCCATGCTCCGTTGGCGCCCATTTTAACCTTCAAGGCCTGTCTCAAATGCCACCAACTGCAAGAAGCCTTTGCAGCTCCCCTCAAGCTAAAATTGTTCCAAATCTGTGTTAGCGTATATGCTTTCTGGGGAGGGATTCGACGGTATCACAGAATGGTTAAAATAACACTACTGTGCAGCTAGACTTGGCTTCAAATCTTTATCCTTTCATGTAACTTTGGACAACTTACTTTACCACTCTGGGTCTCAGTTTCCCTATCTGAGGTGGATACAATGCCTACCTTACAATGTGGTCACAAAAACTGTATCAGTTAATTTATGTAACATGCTCAACACAGTACTCGGTGCATTATAAGTGCCAAGTAAGTGGTAGCAATTGCCATTATTATTATTACTATTATTACTTTTGTATGGCCCTTATTGAGGAAGGAGTGGGGCCTCACTGGTCTTAGCTCCCCTTTAATTAGCAGCGTCTGGCTAGTGGTGATCACTTGCCTTTTTTGGTGTCCTTTGCACTCAGCTACAGTTTGTGGACAGTAAGGACTCTGAATATGAATTCACTGAGTGACTCAAGAGCCTAAAAGCCTTGATTTGAGCCTTGGATCCACCACTTAGCTGTGTGACTTTGAGCAATTTTCTTAACCTCTCTGGGCCTCGGCTTCCTCATTTATAAAGTGGATAAAACAGTGGTATCTTTCTCATAGATTGTTGCAAGGTGTCAGGGTACTATCGCCTGAGTTAGCCAACTTCTAATTGTAGATCCTGCACCTAGTAGGTGAGCAGTGAAGATTTTCTGAATGAATGAAAAGTCCCATTGTACCAGCGGTAATGAGATTTAGGGGTGAGTTTAGTACAGTCTAATTCTCAATTACAGTAGTTTGGCCTTGGTTTCTGGCATAATTAGCTCCCTCCTCTCTTTATTCTTTTATTACTTGGCTCTGGACCCATTGCCTGGTTTTGCCTAGTTTTTTGGCTTGTGGGTTTTCACCTCTCAAGCATCCATGGAAGCAGAAGGGGCATAAAAATAAACACAGGATTTGGCCACATTCTTCCTGAGCCTAAGTGAGGAGAATTGGCTTACAGATATGGCTGCATAAGTGCCAGGGACAGACATGTTTGCGGGGCCATTGAATGAGGCTTTATTTGCCAGTTAATTCAGAACACATGCTCTCCGAGGCAGCACAGCCAGCCAGAAACGTCAGCAAAGAGAAGTTTGCCCATGGAACAGGCAGAGGCATTTTTGAAGCGAGGAGGGCGAGGTTGCCCCTGTAGGGTCAGAACTTGTTGTGGACGGGCCACCACTTGCTCCTTCTCAGGGTCTTCCTCGCTGACCCAGGGCTGGCCCTGCTGTCTTGGTGGCCAATGAACTGCGGTCATGCTCAGCCCGAGGAAGCATCAGGCTGCCCAGCTCTGACCCCTCCAGGATCCACCAGCACGGCGGGACTTCAGTAGCGCCCTTGGGGACAGGGCACACAAGGAACACAGATGGTGCGGGGCACGCAGATGGTCTGTGGTACGCAGGTGGAGGGAGCACAGGGGGGGCAGGAAGAAGTGGTGCAGGGGTTCTCAGGCAGCCTGCGGGAGAAATTCCAGCAGGGCAGGGTTAGGAGAAGAAGCCACCTCGGCCAAGGTCCTGCC